TTTAATAGATTTTTTAAATATTTGTAATAGTTTTAGTTTTAGTTAACAATAACAAAACTAGCTGGTGTCCAGGACTTGAAATGCCATGACTACTTGTTATGCATTAACTACCAATCAAATATTTTGAACAACCTAGTCTAAAGTTATATTTCTAATAATCTTAAAAAACCTTTTAAAGGGAAAATCCTTAATGCTTGTGCGAGTTGTTTAGACTAATATAAACTGAATTGTGCCTGCATATGAAATTCTTTGAAAAACAAAAGCTGGAATAGAGCTAACAAGTGTCCAGCATAGATGTGAACATCTTCAATACTGTGTAAAAAGCATCACAGGATTCACCTCATGAAGAAGTGGAATTTTTGATTTATTGAACATTTTTAATCAGTACATAATTCCCACTCTTGTGTTATTTAATTTTGATGACTGTTGTATTATTGTAAAATAGTCCTAATAAACAATAAGTGGGTGTGTCCAAACCTTTGACAGCTAGTGTATATGTACACACTCGGACACAGTCCACACACACACACACACACACACACACACACACACACTGACAGTGTTGTGCCGTATACACAGGTCCTTGTGCCACTCTTCAAAGCTCTTCTGTCAGTGCTGTTTAACTGTATGTGTTTGTGTCAATGGTGTCCCCTTCCCCCCTCTCTCACTTCACGGGTACCCGCTTACTCAGAGTTGGTTGTGGGCCACATGTCACAGTGACTCTGTCATCCTTTTCTCCCTCTATTCATCTCTCTCACCCCGTTCCCTGACCCCAGTCATTCCCGATCTCCCCCTCTTAACATATGTGACACGTCCCCGTCCACGTGCCTGTGGATTAGAGGCTAGGATTGACAGACACAGCTTCATGATGACAGCTGCTCATGGGCTCTGTGAGAAAGGAGGGGGATAGGGGCGCGAGGGTGAGAGGGAAAGAGACAAAGTGCGAAAGACGGGCCGTATGAGTGAGTGAATGAGTGGCGGCGAGATCTCCTGTGAAGCATAGTTTTCCCGTTGTTAATCTGCTGACGTGGATTGTCAGTGAGTGTTAATTTGAGTTTGCCGTGACCTGTGAGCTGTCACACTCGGGCTATAATGAACCTTTTCATAGTTTTGCTAGAGAAGAGTGTGGAATGTATTTTGACAGGAGGCATGTGTATGCACACATACTTGCTTGTTTAATTTAACACATTACTTGTGAGAGTGTATTAAGGACAGATGTGTGTGTGTGTGGGTTCCATATGTTCATATCATAAGGGTGAAGCGGTTGGTGAAAGTTTTTTTTGGTCTTAGTGACTCCAGAGGTTACATTGACGCTTAATCTGTAAATTAGGCAGAATTTAAATTTTTTTTCCCCAAGTTAATGATCAAACTGTTTACACTAGCAGTGTAATTGACTGTTGTAAAATATTATTTTGCATGGCATTTTGGTAGATGAACCATGAAAAGACTAAAGACAGAAGCATGTCGAATAAGTATAACTTGAAAGTGATGTTTAAATGCATTGTATATTGATGTATATTTATATTTTGCTTAATTTTGGTTGAAAATAATTTTGCTTCAAGTATTTGTTTTATCAATATTTTAATAAACAATTTAGAAAAAAAAATATTTATTAAACTTTTCCAATCTATGCACTTCTGTACATCTCACCATAGCCAAATTATATTCTATTTTTTGTTTCTTTATTATTTATTTATTTATTTTACTTCTGTGGCCACTTTACTTTATTTTCGAACATTTAGAAATAAGAAGCCTATGTTTGTAAGCTTTCAGAGGCTTTTTCTGGGTGATATATGGCATTTTGTAAAACATAAAAAAACAAAACTCAAAGTTTTATTTATATTGATGAAAATGAGTGTTGTTATTTTCCCAATGATTTCATCGAAGTCTTATCCATGCTGTAAACATACATTTCTAGAGTCAAAATGCACCAGACTAATTAATTTTTTTAAGTTCATTAAAAGACAAATACAAATTAAATTGATTTTTTTCTTCCTCTAGCACGCTCACTAAAAGTGCAGCTGAAAAATCTACAAATTGGCAATTAGTAACAAATAGAATGTGGTCTTGCTTTCTGCTTGTTTGAGTTTATGACAGATTGACTACAATATAATCAGTGCTAAACATCAAATGGTTTTGTAAAACAAAGCTGCCCTTGCTAAAGAAAGAGTTCATATTTATTTTGTATGGAGAATGATCGTAGGTGTATTCTGAGCCCCATGTTGTGTATGTTTGTTTTTCTGTACATGCAAAAATAGGAAGTGAAAAGTTCACCCATTCTTTCTGTTTTTGTAGAGGCCATCCTCTATTGCTCTGTTCTATGGCAATGCCGTTGACTTTATTTGGAGAAAAAATATTGAATCAGAATAGCTCAGTCTTTAAAATAATATTCATTTCTGTCGCTTACATTCCTCATATTTTTCCAATGATGATTTCATTGTTATTGAGGAATATGATATGTTGAATATTTAGACTAAACTTTTCCCCCTCCTATGTTTTTAAAATGTCATGTTCTGGACTGTTGAGTCTGAAATATGACACTTTTTTTTTTTTTTTTTCAATTTATCGGCCTTTTGTTTGCTATATGTGACAATCATAATTGTAATACTGGCTGTGTGAATTTTTTTAGATTTGTGAGGCCTGTTTTTGACACCTGTTTATTGGTAGAAATTTGCCCTCCATTAATCTGCAAAGCTATGCTCGCATGTATTTTTAGAATATATTTATGTTTCTTCTCAATTGTAACATTACTCATGGCATGATTCAGACCAGTCTAATATATGCATTAATAGATATGCATTAACTACACAAGGCCAAGTTTGAAATGACACAGGGAACGGAAAAAAGTTTGATATTTGTTTTGACATTTCCCTCATCTCATGCAAAACTTCAAATGCGATAAACATCGCATGAGAAAACCCAAGTAAACAGCTGCCTTAGGGTGTTGAATTTTCATCATATTTCTGGCTGCATTAATTCACGTCTTGATCAGGCCATTAGCTGTTGAGCGGTGCAGAGGGGGTGGTTGCCTGCTCTGTGGTGGGGTGTGTGTTTTGTGTAGGGGGTTGGTGGCATTTGTCAGCTCGGTTCTTCCGCTTGGAGTCCAGATTGATGGGTCATCTTTTCCCTCTTGTTTCCTTTCAAAAGATTTTCCTCAGAAAAGGTCAGATACTTAAAACTATTTGCTTCACAGCATGTCACTTTCCCTTAGAGGGCCAGTAAGGGAAAAGTGAGAGGCACGGAGCTTTTCGGTGCGACACGAGTGCGTCTTGGTGCGCACTGACTAGTTTTAGGAGAGAACGGGAGGGGGTGGGACCGACGGTGCGCTACCGTGCCTCGCCTTGTGTCGGCTGTCTCTACAGGTTACTCTCTTGTTTCAGACATTAGCCATTAACCGTGGGGAGAATCTGAAGATTCTGACAGTGAAGGTCAACATCCCCGACAGGGTGAAGAATGACTTCTGTAGGTGGTGCGTCAACGTCAGGTCAGCTCACACCCACAATGCCCACACACGCACCACACCTCATCTTCTTCCTCTCTCCCTCGTGGTCTGGTCCAGTGCTGTTGCCGGTTTAATGGGCAATGGGTTGGCAACTGACTTTTACAACCACAGGTTTTGATATTGATGTAGCTCTTTCCACGATGTCTCAGAAACCATTTCTTAAAAAAGGTATGTTTTTGATAAATAATGTATAAAAAATACGTTTTAAAATTGTAAATAAGAAAAATTTCTCTTTTATTTAGTGAATATTAAACCAGTTATCTCCATATATAAATTATCGTATTGTATAGTCGACCCAAAATTGCTCAAAGCTCTATTTGCAAGTTACATTAAATATAATAAACATAAACATACTACACGCACATTATAAAAATATATGGTCACACTTTCAGGTCCAATTCTCACCATTAACAAACCATTAACTATGACTTTTGCCTCAATAAACTCCTAATTGGCTGCTTATTAATAGTTAGTAAAGTAGTTAAATTTAGGTATTGGGTAGGATTAGGGATGTAGAATATGGTCATGCAGAATATGTGCTTTATAAGTTCTAATAAACAGCCAATATGTTAATAATATGCATGTTAATAAGCAACTAGTTAATAGTGGGAATTGGTCCCTATTCTATAGGGTTACCAAATATACTTTGCATTTTAATTGTAATGCAACATATTATAATTAATTTAATTTGAGAGGAAATTAATTTTACTTATTTACTATTTTAATATGTTTTAATTATTTATTTATTTTACATTTTTACACTATAGGTCAAAAGTTTTTCCGTTGCAAAGAATTTTTTTTTTTCACCAAGGCTGCATGTTTTTGGCATGGCTTTGCCATCACAGAAATAAATTACAGTTAATATTTCACAAATTACCATTTTCACTTTTTTAACTAAATAAATGCAGCCTTGGTGAGCATGTCCTTATGCATCTTTAAAAAACATAAAAAAATCCATGATCAATTATTATAAACTTTGAAGTTCCTAGTTATTGTGCCAGAATTGAGTTTTCATTAAATTAAATAAAAATGAAAAGCACCGTTTTCAAAAATAAAATTAGTTGTCCCCTTCATTATTTAAACATTTAAACTTAGAGCTAATTATTTCCATGTAGTTATTATACAATCACAATCTCAGATTTCGAACGCACATATTAGTGGCTTTTTTTGGCAGGCTCTACACTGTAAAGGTACAGGTAAAGCAGTTATCTAAATGTATAGATATGAGAAATAAAACAAACACACTTTCTTTGAAAAGCTACCATCTGAATTTTTATTTTACTGAAATCCTGCAGGATGGACTCTGATGGACTAAACTGATGGACTCCTTCTGCTGTATGACTTACAGGTGGAGGCCACAGGGATTCGCATGGCCAGAATTGATGACGATTTTGAAGAATGCTGTTGAAGATTCCTACAGGAGATTCATTCTGCCCTTTCTCAGTCGAGGCTACAGGTTTGTTCTTGCCGGATAGTTAAGCTTCTTTTTCCATATCTTCTTTTTATAGCATTCTTATTCTTCCTGTCCCAGGACTAAGTTGACTGCTAGTGCAGAAAAAGAGTCCATCGCCATGTTTGTTCGGAATTTACGTCAGCGCCTTCTGATGTGTCCGGTGCGTGGGAGAGTCATCATGGGAGTGGACCCAGGGTTTCACCACGGCTGCAAAATAGCAATCCTGTCCCCCACCAGTAAGAGAACCAGAATAAATGTGGAATCCACTTTGAATAAATGCTAAATATATGTCTATATCCACATCTAAAACTGTGACCCTGGAGCACAAAACCAGTCATAAGTAGCACGGGTATATTTGTAGCAATAGCCAACAATACATTGTATGGGTCAAAATTATCGATTTTTCTTTTATGCCAAAAATCATTAGAATATTAAGTAAAGATCATGTTCCATGAAGATATTTTGTAAATTTCCTACTGTAAATATATAAAAACTTAATTTGTGATTAGTAATATGCATTGCTAAGGATTTTTTGCACCCTCAGATTCTAGATTTTCAAATAGTTGTATCTCGGCCAAAAAAGTCCTATCCTAAAAAAACCATACATCAATGGAAAGCTTATTTATTCTTTTATTATTTATTTAAATCTCAATAACTAAAACTTAAAACTATAGACATATAACTAAAAATATAAATCGAAAAGGAAGATAAAAAGATATTTTGTCTTAATGTTTTAATGTAATATTGTAACAGTACTTTTCATTATAATACTGTATAACTTTTTAATAATTTGGTATTTTTCTAGTTTTTCTTTTGGCTGTCAACTAATGAAAGTGTCTTATAGTAATGGATAATTATGGTAAAGTTGATTTTTTTTTTTCAAATTTTGTAATCAACCAAATATAGACTAATGTTGAAGTAGACTAACATAGTGTTAAATAACTTTTGCCTGTTAATTGTAATTATTTTTAGTTTCTATATTTTTAAAGTTGATGAAAGAGAGTGTCTGATTGACAGGTGTGATGAGAATGCCCGTTGTGGCCTCTCGGTGGGAGGAGCGGCACGCTGTGCCCTGTTTGTGCCCTGCGTCCAGGCGACTGATCGGCCTGGCGGGTGTGTGTCAGGTGGCATTGCCATGTTTTGCCCTCTGCCCCGCTGCAGCACCACATGCAGACCCAGCTTGACTGTGACAGGTCTGTGGGTGTGGAGTCACATGACCTGCCGGGCTCTTGAGGTGTCTATTGCAATTAGACTGCCTCTCTCAGGCTGACAGAAAACGGCAGCCGTATTGTCTAAGAGGAGAGGGGAACAAGGTGATGAGTGCAGAAAAATCAAAGAGGAAAAAAATGGGGGTCCACAGTATCTTCATGATGCTAATGTATTGTTAAGTTGATGCCCAGATAAAATATTGTCGCATACGTCCTCTGCTGTCCTGACATATCTTCTTCCTTTTTTTCTTTCCTCAGGTCAGATTCTGCACACAGATGTGGTGTACCTCCATGGTCCTGCTAAACACAAAGAAGCAGAAAAACTGCGCCATCTTATGTTCAAACACAGGTATTGCAACCACAACGATAACTGTTTTTTATGCTTAAGGCTGCATTTATTGAATCAAAATACAGTAAAAACAGCAATATTGTGAAATATTATTACAATTTAAAATAGCTCTTTTATATTTTAATATATTTAAAATTGTAATTTATTCTTGTGATGGCAAAACTAAATTTCAGCTGTTTTAGCTACCAGTATTTTTTGCTTCTTAATATTTTTGGGGATACGATTCAAAAGTTTGGGGTAAGAACGTTTAAAAAAAATAATGAAATAATACATTTATTTAGCCAAATTTATCAAAAGTAACAGTAAAGACATTCATAATGTTACAAAAGTTTTCTATTTCAAATAAATGCTGAATCCTGAAAAAGCACTGAAGAATGGAGTAACGGTTCCTGATATTTCTGCTTTGCCATCACAGGAATAAATTACATTTTAAAATATATTTAAAGTGTAAAACAGTTATTTTACATTGTAATAATATTCTACAATGTGACTGTTTTTACTGTTTGTTTGTTTGTTTTTTTCCGTTGAAATAAATGCAGCCTTGGTGAGCATAAGATACTTCTTTAAAAAGCTCTTTAAACATCTTAAATATTTCAAACTTTTTACCTATAGTGTGTATATATTTGAGTAACTTAATTTTTTTCCCCCACAGCTGCCAAACAATTGTAATAGGAAATGGCAAAGCATGCAGGGAGACTGAGGCCTTCTTTACAGACCTAATTAAACAACGCTTCTTCAAGCCCCTCGATGTGTCCTACTGGTATGACATTTCCCTTTTTTAAATTACAGAGCAGAGCAGTGAGCAGTACAGCAGATGTTGTTCTTCTGAGAGTTGCTGAGCAGTTATTGGCTTTGGTGTAGAGATGAAAACTGCATTTGTTTGAGGTCACATCAAGCTCCTGTACAGTCTTAGTGCAATTGCAACTTGAAATTTGAAAATGTTTTATCAATAAACTCCACTAAGAGTGAAAATAGCAACTGTCAAGCAAGGTACGCAGAAAAGGAGCAAAGGAAATGGTGCCGGTCTGGAATGTGTTACTCTTGCGGGTTTTAAATGGTATCTGGACCTTGTTTGACTGTCTCTAATTAAAAACAAATATTTCTCACCGTCCTTCAAACCAAACCAGTCCGATGTGTTCTCATCCAACCCAAATAAAGACTAGATCTGGGATTGTCTCTCTCTCCATCTAGCTAGACTCGTGTTTGTTGACTTTTGGTTCTGACTGGAGAGCTGCCCAGAACCG